CTCATCATCTCGCTGTAGATTGTTTGTAGAAGGTTGTCCGGAACGTGTGCTTGCTTGAAAACTTTGTGGAAATCATCGGCGATCCGCTGTGTGCTATTTGGTCCGATATGATAGTTCAAAATGATATAATCATTTTTGTACTTGTCGAATTCGCAATACCTATAAAAATTTCAGAAAAAAATAGAAGTGAGCAAAAGTTATGTTCTCAAAGCGTACGCTGGAGGTATTACAATCAAGGCACGTGCTGCCATTGGGGAAAGATACGTCCCCCCCCCCGTCCTTCCTCGAGATCTCCTTCCTTGGTACGACTCCCTTCTCCTTCACATCCTCCCTACTGTTCTCCTGAATTCTCTCGAAAATTGCCGCTAATTTTCTGCAGTTTTTTTTTCAAAAATCCTATGGTTCTTTCGAAGAAACCGCTCTTCAGCGAAAAGAGGAAGGGAAGCGAGGGAACATATCTCAATTGAGACAGGAAAGTCGACAACCGAAAACATTTTCTCAAGCCTAATACGACTCCCTCCTTCCACTGGCCCTACGCTGCTTGTCCGTACCGTGGGACGTGCCCTAAGGGGAGTATTTCTCTTCAATTTCAAGTTACTTACAGTAAACTTACCATGTTTGAGGAGCAAAATGTCGGATATAGTAGTGGTACATGCGTGCTAGTTCAGGATCGTCTGTCGGTTTACCATTCTTTTCATAGTACTGCATAAATACTGCATGAAGAATATCAACAAAACACTGAATATCATTCCGGCACCCAAAACATCGTTCTTTCTCCGTGTAGTATGTGAGCTCGCTGAAATTCTGACAATATAATCGAACGCACATTAGGCTGCGTTCATACTCTGAGGTAGCGTCCTCCTGTTCCGAACGTCGGACAGCGTCAGCGAGAAGGAAAGTATAGGTATCGATTAAGCGTCTGCCAGTGTCTGGAAGCGTCTACCGTCGTCCACTAGCGATCAGCAGCAGACTGCTGGTAGAGAGTATGGGGCGATAGGAGGTACCAGCTGTCTGCTACCCTCCTATCGCCCCATACTCTCCACTCCCGGACGCTGCTGGTCGCTGGTAGACGCTGGCAGACGCTAGATCGATACCTATACTTCCCTAGCCCTCGAGACGCTGCTGGACGCTGGCACATGGTAGACGCTGGCAGACGCTAGATCAATATCTATACTTTCCTAGTCGCTGACGCTGCCGAACGCTCGGAACGCTGGTGGACGCTATTGGTCGCTGGTGGACGCTGCCGCAAAGTATGAACGCAGTTATCGTATGTTGATTTGGGAGGGACAATCAGCTATTGCGCCTTCTTCATCGTCGCGCTTCTTCTCTTCACCATGCTATAAAGATGATACAATTAGGTAATAAAATGTCATGTCCAAAACCCGCCCATGGACTAGCGTGGGTTATATCTTCAGGTGATAGTGATGTTTAGCGAGTACTTTCAACCTTTAGAGATCTTAATAGTGCCGCAGCGCTAGCCCTTTCTGCACGTATTGTTGGGAACGAGGAAGCGAGAACAGCTGGCAAAAAGAAGGTAGGTTCACTCTGTTAGTCACTATCCGGTGAAATGGAAAGCAATCAGGCGTTCCGGTACTATCGTTGAATTCATGGCCCATCCGAATACAACTAATCAACTTTCAATTCTTATTAAATAATGTTTCTTCAAAACTGACTTACTTCATGCATTTATCGACGTATCCACTGAGAAATCGATCGATTGGGTGACGAATTACAGTGAATAACGTTGAATTCGCACCGACTGCATCTACGACACTGCTTATATTGTTGCGCACAAAGGAACGATCACATAGCCTGAAAACTTTCTTTTGGGAGGACCATACTCAAGGGCACAATCTGTGATGGTTGTATGGGCGGAGACAGCTAAGGCAGGGCGATGTTCGACCTGGGAGGGGCATTTTGCACTTCTGCATTCATGGTGCCTTCATGTTGACCAGTAGGTTTCACTTCGCTTCTCTTGTGAACTCTTGTGAAGATGCGGAACGGTGAAGGTGAGTTCGCTTACAGGACTTTACACGTCTTAACAGGGTAGGGCAGTTACGAGTCCGTCATTGTCGTCTTTACTGTCACAGAAGGGTGGCTAAATGATGAAGAAGACAATTTGCCTGACGGTCTCCGCCTCTACGATTTTCGTGGACTCTCCCTTTGACCTCATTTCCAGCTAACAAGATACTCATCTGCTGGACCGATTCTTACTTATCACACATCAAAACCGTTAAATATTTAGGAAAGTTAAGCTA